TCAAATCGGTTGGCTGTTGAACTAAATGTGGTTTTGGTAATGCTAATTTGTTAAATCAATCTGCTTAACTCTGTCATGCGTCCAAACTGTTAAATCATTCTGTCCAAAATGGTCATCAATTATCCCAACCTATATCCAGTATATCCAAAATGCTCATCGTTTCTCCCAACCTAAATCTGATATGTCCAAAATGTTCATCACTTCTCCCAACCTATATTGGCGGTCGAAATTGGTTCCAATCATGTACTAGATAGGAAATCGAACTGACCAATTCCGTTTGATGATTGTCCAATTGAATTTTCGATTGTCCAAACCGCCTCCTATAGCGTGCAAGTGGGCCGTAAACACACACGGGGATGTGGGGAGCTGGCGCTCAACCATCATCAACGTGGCCAGCCTTGTACGTGATAGGCACAGTAAGAGGGGAACTGCAAAAACAAAGAAAATGGGAGGCCTCCCAATGTTAGTTGAGGAACGCGTAATCAAGAAAAGGATATAACAAACTTATTGTCTCTTGTATTGGTTTTACTGTTGGGTTGACCCATGTCAAGTGTGTTGCATTGCTTGTATGAAGGTGAGATTCCCCTTTTTTTTTTTTTTTTCCGTCCATAAAACAGGTCCTGATGGCCCTGGCTCCATTTCCATTCTGGGGAGCATCAGTCCGGTTCCTGTTCCACCGGCAAGTCAGAATAAAAGATTACGTAATCATGAAACACACTCAACGCTTCCTTCCGTCCGGCCGAAGGAACTATGACCAGCATTGATTACTCCAGCATCGTGGAGGATTGACTGTCAGCTTGCCTTATTTCCACCTTTCCTCTCAGGTCCACTGCATGAACCTGTCAGATAAATGATAGATGGCAAGAAAGGTAAGAGAAAAGAGAAAAGAAAAAAAAGAAAAAAAAGAGAAGCTACGGAAGATGCAATCTCGGAATTCGCCCTTGAATATTATGTGGCCCGTGATGGGTCTTGTACTTGCGCTAGCTGGGATCTCTGCCTTCTCCACCCTGCTTCTGAGTTGTGCCAATCTTTCCATCGTATGGGAAAGTCATTTATCTCTGCCACTTTGCCCCTTGCAAGCCACACCTCAGTGAATTTTGCCTTGATTCTTCTCTCTGTTGCTCTTCGTCATCTAGCATAGACTGTCTCGTCTTTTGCCGCTTACCAACAATCTCTGCCCCTGAATCAAGGTACTTCCTTGTCACCGCCCATACCACCTTTCTCCGTTGGAGTTGAGAAGAGTCCCTCAATGGTTCCGTTCTGCAGCACCTTTCCTTCCCGATGGACCACCACAGCGTTACCTTTCTGATCATTCCCAACCACGTTTTCTGTGTTTTTGTGGAATCGAGCTAAAGGTGAGGTTCCTTGCTTGTATAAACGTAAGATTCCAGTGGTTTTGGATAGATATTGGCTTTACAAGCAAAACTGTTTCATCGGTGGATTGGCTCATCTTAAGCATGCTTCATTGTCTGCAATAGAGGTAAAATTGCTATGACTTTGGATCTACCCTCATCTGGCTGGAATAGGGGAAGTTGTGGCGATAATTCATAACACACTCACACACACACATACACACACATACACACACATGCACACACATCCTGGGCAGACTGTCAGGGTTCAGCCTCCTGATGAGTCGGTGAAAGTCCGACGGTCATGCTTTTTTTGAGAGTATAGCGAATATGACAACACACATACACACACATACACACATGCAATATAGTCCATGCAAGTTTTTGCTTCCATACGAACGATGACAGTCAGTACTGTACTCATGTACGGCACCCCGACATGTCATGTCCAATTTGTAGACGGGCTGGAACGACAATACCTCTATAATTGCGGTTGACGTGCCTCTGTGTTCCTAGCATATACGAGCCACGTAGCCTGTGACATCTGTCTGCGCCATGCCATTCGATGCAGCAACTGTGACTGCGAAAATTGGATGCGGTGCTTCCATAGCCCACACCCGAACCGGTCCTGTCCGGTCTGTAGGGGTGGCCAGTCACAGCTGTGAATATTTAGAAATCTGTGAGACCCGTCATACACCTTTCCCCTGCTCTTGCATGTCACTCTATCCTGTCCTCCACATATTTCTTTCCTTCCCGTTGCCCCTACCTCCCCTGCCCCATACTCCTAGAGAGCTCCACCTTCTATCCCTTACCCTCCACCCTCCCCTCCACTCCCTTTGTTCTACTACCAAATACATACGAATGAGCATCATTAAGAGTATAGACGATATGAAGATCAGAAATGAAATGAACGGAAGTATGAAGATGAAGGACGGACACAAAGGCTGTATAAGCTGAAGATCTGAAATGAAATGCACAGGAGTATGAAGCTCTGAAGAGATGCACAGGAGCATACCTTCCCTTGTACTCTGCCTCGTGAAATGACGTGCAAGTGGGCCGTGGAGGCACACGGGGATGTGGGCAGCTGCCGTTCAACCACAATCAACGTGGGCAGCCTTGCGCGTAAGAGGCACAGTAAAAGGGGAGCTGCAAGAACAATGAAAGGGGTACCCCAAGAACAACCAAAAAACTGTCTAATTATAAAATTGCTTTAATATGTTGGACATCTCAAATGCTCTCGTTGTCTGCAATAGGATAAAGACTGCTTTGATTCTGAATCTATTCAGCTGGGTGGAAGTGGGGCTGTTGTGTGGAAAATCTAAAACACACATACACACACATACACACACATACACACACATACACACACATACACACACATACACACACTGCTTTGATTCTGAATCTATTCACCTGGGTGGAATTGGGGAGGTTGTGGGGAAAATCTAAAACACACACATACACACAGTCTATGCATATGATGACAGTCAAGTGTTTGCTTTCATACATATGATGACAGTCAACATTGCACTCATGTGCGGCGCCCTGACATGTTGTGGCCAATTTGCAGACGGGCTGGAACGGGGATGCCTATACAATGGTGGTCGGCGTGCCTCTGTGTTCCTGACCAGTCTGTAGAGGTGTCCATTCACAACAGGCAACGGCTGCTGCTCAGCTCAAAATCTCCTGCAACCCAAACACTGACTGGCCTCTCGTGTCATCCTAGAGTGGTCTGCTCCAGCAGTGAGCATTGAGAGCTCTGTGAAGTTTGCCATTCCTCTGTTCTGCTCGTTTGCCACTCTACACTGACTGGCCTCTCGTTTCATCCTAGAGTGGTCTGCTCCAGCAGTGAGCATTGAGAGCTCTGTGAAGTTTGTCATTCCTCTGTTCTGCTCGTTTGCCACTCTGTGCGGTCCTTCCTTCCATCTGAGGTTGTCCATGAAAATCAAGAATGTCCGCTATCACCAGTACCTTTCCCATGTGTCTGCCGTGGGCACTGCACGCTGGCCTGAAAATCAAGACTGGCCGCCGATTCGATATATCGTCGGCCGCCCTTCCGTTTCAGTCCAGCGCGTTATCCGGCGCGCCTCTGAAAAATAGCTGGAAAAGGTACCGGTGGTCTAACCAGCCATACCCTCCTGTTATTTGACCAGGGTCTCTTGTTGCTTATGAGGAAAATGCCACCACCTATTCACCATGTGCGTCCTCCCGCATTTGAAAATCTCGACTTTCTTCCATTGATCGATGATCCCGGTCAACATTGATGATTTACTCATGGCCCGCAACTTCTCACACGGACTACTGATTTGACCAAGGTTCCGCTGCATCTCTCCAACCATTTGACTCCGGAGTGTCATCTGTTGGATTATTATGCCAAACGGGATGCGATGCGTTCTGATTGGCTGAAGTGCATACAAACGTTAGTCCATAGGAGCAGCTGGATTGGGTGTTCAGGAAGAGGGCAGGAGAAAACACGTGGTTTGCCAGAGAACAGATGCTCTTGCCCACTAGTCAGCAGCATCCTTACATGTGATCGGGCAGTGTATTTTATCGTCGCTGTTCATTGTCTGAGCCTGAGCACACCACACAGAGATCTGCCTCATCTGATGAGCCGTTTGGGTCGTTTTTCCTCCCGACAAGTAGCCGGCTAGCTGTTCACAGGGAGTTCAGTGTAGGTAATAAGGAGGCCTCCCTTTTTTTTTGCAAGCTTCGTATTTCGACTGGGTGTATTGAGTTTTATATCTTTACCATTGAATCTTGGAGATTTTTTCCGCTTCCTGGCCTAATAGTTTGTACTACTTTATACCTGGTCCATCTGTCTTTCATTACAACCAGCTCACGATCCTTCTTCCCCTAGCAGCATCGTTTTTTTTTTTTTTTTTTTTGACAACACCCCCTGCAGTGCTAGTGTTGCTGGTAAAAGCAGGCAGCAGTAGCACCCGGGGAGCGGCTCCATCTATTGGTGGGGAGCATCACCTGCTTTCTTTTGTTTCGACTCACAGTATTGACCGTATGTTGTGTTATGTGAATAGGAGTTTTGCAAAATGTTTAAATATGTTATTGCTGGAGGATCATGCCCATGCATCATTGTCGAACTCGAATTCATGGATTGCTGTAACCTTTTGGAAAACTAGTAGATAGTAGATATTAAATTACCTGTGGCCAGCTCCACTACTCTCTACATGCAGAAAAGACAAAAAAATATGGCGTTGTATACTTCCATTTTCTAGCGGAAGGGTCATTGAACTTCATTCTCATTTTGCATATTTGGAGAGTAGTGGAGTGAGGCCCCATGACCATGAAACGTTCTAGGCAAACATCAGTAGACAAAGCAGTAGAGGGGCCTCGACCCTCTATCCACCAAATGTGCAAAATGAGAACGAATCTGCCGTGAGAACATGGGAAGAGGAGGAGGAATGCGGAGGCTGGCATTATTATCGAATCCAGGATGAGTGCCTGCATAGTAGTTTTTGTTCTTGTGTGGGCCTGTCGGGCTGGTTTGGCAGGCTTCAATCTGTTTTGTCCATGCTGCTGATCATGTTGTCCTTGCTGTTCTGCACTCTTATTCCAAGTGCTCGTTGGTGTCTGTCATTATTTATTTACACCGCCGTTCATTTTCTGGCATTTGTGTGGCACTTGTTTCTGCAGTCTTGCCTTGTCAGGCACAAGTTGTTTGTTGGGTTAGCAGTCGCCATTGTCGATAACGAGAGAGCAGAGACCAGAGCGACAACAGACGAGGTGCTCGCAGTTGCTTCCCTGAAGAAACGGAATGGTGTGGGTACGAATCTGAGCCCTAGTCCCCTCATCATGACCATAATTTCATCTTCGATGAGGAGTATGGGTTGTTTCCTTGCATTCCCATCTTCCCCCCCCACCCCACCCCACCCTCTCTCCCCTTCCCTCTCTCTCCCTCTCACACACACACACACTCACACACACACACACACAAGCGTGCTTGCGTGTCAGAGGCCTTGTTTGCTCACTCACTGATTACAACGTTACTGCGTGTCACTGCATTACATGGTGATAGTGAGTGATAGCGTGATGGTGTGAGGTTGACAAATGGTAGTGGTGAGGGGTACGTGGCAACGACTACTTCATCATGCTTGAGTTACACTACTACACTGAAAGTGATGGACATTACATGTCCGTGTCGTTGGCTTGTTCTTTCTTTCGGCTTTGAAAACAGAAAAAAGGGTGAAGCTTTTCTCTGCACTCAGGAAAACAAAGCGATCAAGCCATGCGAAAAAAAAAAAAAAAAAGAACACCGTGCAGGATGCATAGCTATTGGATGAGCGCTGCAGCAGTTGAAAAATCGTCATGAGTACAGTCAGAGGTTCTTTCAGTGCTCTCAAGGAGGGGATTGGGGGTCTCTTAGTGCCCCCCCCCCCCCCCCCCCCACCACCACACACAATGAAGTGCGGAGGCTCTTTCAGCGTGCTCCCAGAAAGTACTTAGTCTCGTCCTGTACATTTTCTGAAGTCTCATCCTGTACATTGTCTGAAAGTATTTAGTCTCATCGTGTACATTGTCTGCTTTGTGATGTTGAGCGGAGCCCATTTTGTTGACATGACGTGTGATGTAGGCTCCAGAATGCAGTAAAATGACCAGTTTGAGGCGCGTCGGTGTCTTGACTAGGAAGTAGGAGGAAAAGCCAGAAGAAAAAAAGTAGATTGGACAAAGACAAGAATGAACAAGTAATGAAGCCCTCTCCTCCAACAATCAACTACTCTTCAACTTGTCCTTCGTTTTCTTCCCCTCTGTTATGATTCTTGCACAATTTTTGATGCAAAACTCGACTACGAAATAATGCCATCGATCGCAAAGAAGAAGAAGAAGAAAAATACAAGTAATGCTTCATGCAGTGCATAAAGCTTAGGCTTGTAGGAAGATGCTTGGGCTAAAGAAGAAGAAGAAGAAGAGGAAAAGTAAAGTGTCACACAGTGGTGCTTAAAGCTCAGGCTGATAAGTGTAGGCATGGGCCCATGGGAGGGTATTTACTTACTGTACTGTATTGGATGCAAACTCTTGTGATCATCCTGTTGCAGCACGAGTCAAATGCTATACCGACTTGCATCTGT